GGCCGAGCAGCAATCCAACCGAGTTCCCACCTCCCAGCCGAGCTCCCACCACTGCCAAGGAGATGCTTATCACCTCTTCCGCTCTGTCAAAAATTCAGTTTTTAATCCAAACACAGTGAAGTTTTTGGTATCTTCATTTTACTCTTTTACATGAGAGAATTTAGGTTTTCAATCTAACTGCGATTAAAATTGATGCATAAAACATAGGGCTGATGCCAAGTTATCCAGGATTCCTCATTTTGAGTTTGCATCAGGATTAAAAGGAAAAATAGCTGAGGGAGAAGGTTTTAAAAATATATGAAGTGTAAGGGATTTTCAGGAGATGGCTAGAGAAAAAGATACAGAGAGCTGCTGCTGATAAGCAGGAAAAGCAGTGTAACAAGATGTCAGGCTGCAGAATGCTCTCCAAAAGCAATGACAAGATAATCACAGCGGGCAGCATTGCTACAGTGAGACCACCAGCAACTGAACGCATCTCTATACATTCTCATCCTCCTGCAGCACCAGGGAAACACTGATATCCCAAATATTGGATTTGTACCATTCTGAAACAAGAAAATGCCCACAGTCCAGAAGTATCTTAAATGTATTTCCCAGACTAGCACACACACAAACAAACCAACGACTAACAGCAGCAAAAACTTTGATATTCCCATTCTGAGCAAGGAAAGCCCTTGTTACCTGGCCATCCACTCCTGCAGGTAGCTCCGGGTACTTGGGCTAAAGGCCCAAGAGCAGCCCCTTAGGCAGGTAACTTCAAACATGGCACCGCCTACCCAGGCACTTGGCCTCTCTCAAGACCAGGTGCTCACTGAGCAGATGACTGTTCAGAAAACAAGCTGTAAACAAAATCACACGCGTGGATACACAGAAGAAATATTTTGCCTTCAAAGGCATTTTTCTTCAGCATGTAAACACTGCAGGAATTTCTCTCGTGTCTCAAACAGCATTACTCTGCACACAAAGTCAAGTCTACTCACGGTACAGTTTATTTTTGTTCAATCATTAGAAACAAAATGACAGCCTTAAGCCACTCATTGAGACCGCAGTATAACATCCCGAGGTTCAGAGATGCTCTGCAACAATGGGTAAGTTATTTTTGGAAACCCATCTGGTTGCCAGGGCAAATTCTAGCAATGATACACACCATCCACCAAGCAGAATCTGGTTTGCAATTCAGGAGAGGAGGAAAAATTAAGACGAGGAATGACTAACTGGGGTAATGTGAGAAGCCATTGAAATTCCGAACTACACAGAATCACGGTTAGGGCTTCCATCAGCCAAACTCCTACATGAAACACGCCTGGTTGCTCTGAGCCAACAGAGCCTAGATCACAGGCTTCAAAGAAGTTTCAGAAGGTTGTACAAGGCATCCTGCTGCCTCAAGGAAGGATTAACTACACCTAAGCAGTACCTTATGCAGACCATACCGCTGCTGAACAATAAACATTTGTTCGTACAACCATCTCCCATCAGTTTTATTTGTCTTCCACACAAGGGAGTAAATGAGACAGACAGAAATGAAGCAATTCTCTCTCAATTGCACACTATGTCTCCTGCAAAATCTGGAAATAATTCCAGATGTTTAAAAAACCACAAATAGCCCACTGATTGGTTTTCTGGGAGCTGTATGCGTGGTCGTCGTCTCATTTTCAAAGTCACTGGAGCCCCAGCCCACATCAACCTGTTACACATCTGGATAGTCTTACATACGTTATAAAAGACCATGAAGTTTTTCTATTCAAATTGTAAGCTTTCGACCACAGAAATATCTTTTGAAGGTTAACAGATGGCAAAGATGGTAAAGTGAGGACAAAGAAAGGAGGGAGTCATAAAATGATTTTCCATTTTCTTCACTAACAATGAGGAATGGAAACTTGCACGCTAATGTTAAGACACATCAGCTCTGAATGACAGAAACAGGAAAAGACTGTATAATTTATACTTGAGCACCATATCTTCTGGTCAGCTTTCTGCTGAACTCAACTGAGATTACACGAAAGCTTGCATACCAAATCTAGGAAATTGCCAAACTCTTCTTGGTAGAATAGTGCTTTGCATGCCAGAAGAAAGCTTCTGTAATTAAAATAATATCTCCTTTACAACTGAGAAGAGAGAATATTTAATTAGGCTTTAAAACTGTTGAGAAGAGGCTTATATAATAAGCTTACTTAGGCCATACAGTCAAATGAAAAGTGCCTACTAAGATTTATGCAGAACTTAAGTGCACTTCACTGGTAACAAGTAACACTCCCAGTAAAACCTGACATTAAAACTAAATTATGGTCGTCTTCTCCTCCATTTCAATGTCTGAAATAAAAAAAGTTGAAAGTGATGAGAGATTTAAGTGTTGCTAAACAAAATTCATTAAGGTACCAAAGTTGAACATGACTGCTGTGCTCCTTGCCCCCACTTGGGAAGACTCTGAGCACAGAGCAGCCACCAAGGCTGAAGCCCAGACCAGAGACAGGAATGGCTGGAGACAGCACAGTAAACCAGACAGCAAGGCCTCCCCATTTCTGCTGAATATGCAGAGCTTCACTGCAGCCCAGGGCTCTAACAGCAGTCCTCCTTTTGTTCCTTCACTCAGGAAATGGAAAATTAACTCTCACTTGATGGAGTGCCATGGTACATAAAGATAAGGAACCAGCCCAACTGTTCAGGGCTCCAACTGTAGCTGCCTTCAAACCCTTATCAGCCACAGCAACACTCGCAAGGTTTTGTGCTCTTCCAGCCACCTCCCTATGACCCCCTCAAATGGGACTGCTTTGTATGTGGGCCTTTCCTCACCAATCACATGCAGGTGGTAGCCCCACATACACGCAGTGCATTCTGCTGTGCAAACTCCAACAGTTCCCTGCAGCGTGTGGAGGCAAAGCACGAAATTAAGGTACTCTGGAGTTTCTGCAGCAATCCAAAAATGCTACTCAAACCCCCTAAGGTGTACTGTGCACACACAGAGCAGGTTAATAAAGTCTTGTTCAGTCTACGTAATGTTAGAAGCTGTAGCTTTAACAGACCGTGCAAATGGTTAAAATTCTCCTAGAGCAGGGGTTCATGAGGCTGTACAAAACAAACAGCTGCACAAATGTGCAATTAAGGAAGGAGGATAGAAGCTACCAGGAGGTCTAAAGTGTCTTCGGTGAGATGCATCCAAAGGCTTACCCAGCCTCCTGACAAACACCACAGTGCTAAAAGGAGCTTTAATCTACCCTAGATCTGTATAAACAAAGATCATAGGAACCACTGTAACGCACCAGCCTGGGAAAGAGGAACGCAGGCATCATCTTTCACTTTGTAGCTTTCTGCTGGAGAGGAAAGAGGAAAAGGAAAGAGGGAAATGCAATAACCATGAACACTGTGGTGGCTCGACGTGAACAGGCCTGTTCCTTCTGTTACTGTGGGTCGTCAGGATAATTAAATCCTTCATAACAGTCACTGAGCAGCGTCAGAGAACGCGTACAGCAGCCAGCCAACTTCTTCAAGTTGCACAAAAGCACTGCTCGGCGTTTTCAGGACAGATCCTGGCACCACTCCTTCAGAAGCACCGCAGCAACACTGCGCAGAGCCACAGCATCCTGGGGACACTGCGGTCCCACCATGGCTCAGGCAGCTCCCGCTGTTTAGAGGAGTTGATGGAGAGGTCAGCCAGAGTCACTGCGCTTCTGCCTGCAGCTCACCTCCCCCGCTACAGTTTCTAAATTAATCTGGGTCTTTAAGCTTGTTGGCTTTTATTGCTCTTTCTTAAGAAAAGCACAGCTTTCACGCCACAAACTACAGGGCTAAAATCCCCAGACGAGTGCAGTAAGTACAGTTTGCAATTCGCCTCTGCCCTTACTCATCCGAGCGTACTCCCTTAAGTGAATCCTAAAATCTAGGGTAGGAAATGCGCTTAGCTTCTCCTTTATTCTTCCTCCCCAAAACATTTTAATCCAAATGCTCCCGATGGCTAAAGCCAGCAAACGGAGGGCAGATGGGAACAGCAGCTCTCACGTGCTGCAGGGACCCAGCCAAAGCTTGGAACTTTGCAATGGTTGTCCCGTGACCATGTAACACCTTTTCTCATAAAATAAATCTAGCAAAAATACATCTAACTAATAATTGGAAACTCCCTGTTAAAATAATCACAGTGCTGTGCTTGGGCAGGGACTGTTACAGCTTCCCAGGAGGCAGTAACAACCAAACACAACAGCCACTGCCTCCTGGCAGGATCAGCTGCTCGGTTGCAACAGCACGTACCTGTTAGCACTGGCAATTTACAACTGGAAAATATTAGGAAGGGCAGATTAACTGCTACAATATGAAATTTCCATGCCTTCATTTTGCATTAACAGCTTCACGGTTAACAAAAGCCCCAGGGAAAAGCAGAAAAGAGATGAAAAAAAGGAGAAAGCACGCTCTCCCTTATTCTGGACATGTCCAGGGCCAGGAGCATCCTTGGGAAGCCACACAACATCCTCTGCATGGCACCAGAAACAAGTGAGGCTGCCACACTTCCAAGGTGGGAGCTGGCACAGTGATGTCCCCTGGAGTCCCCAGACAGGCCTGAAGCCCTCTCCATACCACAACAGCCACTGCTGGGCTGAAAGAGCAGCAAGAGGCCAGAGATGGATAGCAACAATGCTGTCTATGCTCCTCCCCGCCTTCTCTACTCTTCCTTTCCCTGCAGAGTAGGGGTAGAGACTTATGCATTGACCCCAAGCCTACAGACCTCTTGCCTACATCCCATTCTCACCAAGCCATTGGCACAATGTCCAGATCAGCAACAGTGAAGCGGTGACCACTGAGAGCAGCCTCCACCTTATCAGATCACAGGCACCAGAGGGATTGGTGACAGCTGTGGGGAAAACCCCAAACCTTCCATCCAAGGGCAAGCTCACTGTCAGCCCAAGGCATGGGACTGGGCTACACGAAGATGCCACAGTGACAGGCCACCCATCGCAATGCTCACACCTCTGGTCCAGCCTGCCGGTATGTAAGCTACCTGCACTTGTACTCACCTTGGCAAGATCTCTTCTTTTCCACAGGTCTAACAAGTTCTAGGTGAACACAGCAGCTCCAGAGAGTTCACCATCACCACCTGCACAGAGGCACCTTGCTAGCAGAATCTCCAATGCTCTCTCCGTGCAGTCCCATCTGGCCCTGGCTGTTCCTCCTGCTGCTTCTCCTTACTTAGGACGAGCAGAAGGAAGCTCGTGGACTCAGCTGAAGCTCCAATTAGCTTGCTGTGAGATGCCAGAGCTCTCCCCTGTAGGAAGAACAAACACAGAGCTGACATGTGCAGCCTCCAGCTTCGGTGTGGCGTTCCGCTTGTGTTTTATGTAACCATTTATGACTGTTATTCAATCATGAAGGAGAGCTTACCATGGAAACTGCAAGGAGGTGTTTTGTTTAAGATACAAAGCACTTTTTAAGTAAGAGCTGTTCATCTCCCATATGCAAACACCTGAACTGCACTCAAGGCATCACATTTAGATGCATTTTCCAGACGACGGCTAGCCCTAGTTGGAAACAAAGCCTTTCCCCCCACTCTCCCAGAGCTAAGGAGCCAGGTGAAGCAGAGGCACAGACCAGCTCCTTTGCACTGCCATTATGCAGTTCTGTGGGAAATGCCATTTTTCTGCTGAGGTCCCTGAGGAGCGTGTAAGCTCAGCAGGCTGCCAGCAGCTCCCCAAAGCACTAAGCCCCTGGGACCGGTCCCGATTCTGCACGGTCCGTGGCCAGTCGGTAACGACCTAGTAATCCAATTAGGCAGCAGTATAGGCTGTCTAAAGAAATAAAACAAAAGGAAAAAAAAATACAAAAACAAGGCAGAAATTATGTCTAGAGCAAAGCGTATCCTCGTTATTCCCTTAATCTGCTGCTGCAAGCAGAAGCTTAGCTGGGTGCCCATGTGTGGGGAGCTGAGTGAGCTGCAGGCAGCCCAGCTCGCAGCCCAGCTGAGCTGTTGGTTGGATGCAGAGAGGCACAGGAGAGATGCCCAGGGCTTAGGTGCCAGCTTGGCTATGGCCAGGTTGCAGGGCAGCTCTATGAGGCTCCTTCGCAGTTCACATCTCAATTGCACACCCACAAGGTGCTTTCCAGAGGATGCTCCTAATGGAGCAAAAACGTGAACACAAGAACCCACCCTTTCTGCTTTAAGGTCAAACCCCCCAGGGGATGAAGGGAAACAATTGTGCAAAGCACTACAAGAAACATCACAACTGCAAAAAGGGATTTCTGGTTACAGTGAGTGTTGTTCTCACACACCTAAGAAGTGAGCACAAACTGAAACACGGAGCAAGAGATCTCAGGTGCTGATGGATTTGTTTGCGAGTGCAAAAGCTCAAGAGAATCAACACATTTCCACACTGAAGGCCCAGGCTAAGGCATTGTCATGGTTTACGTTGACAAGCATTATCTGGGGTTTTGGTAAAAATAAAAGCAGAATGAAAGAACAAACCACATATATGCCATTGCTCTGGAAAATTGGCATTTTTAATAGGAAAGTAAATCTAAGGCTTGCTTTAGATGATGATAACTATCAGCATGTTCAGCTTTTAATGGCTTTGCCATTATCACAACAAAGGAGTACAGAGCATCTTTGCTGAACTGCAGGAGTTAAAAACGCACAACGTTCAACTTCTGAAGGGGAGTTCGGCAAACAAGTGGTGACAAGGACACAATTCTCCTACTGTTGATCTGTCAAAGGCTGGAAAAGACCTCTGAGATCCCCCAGTCCAACCACCAGCCCACCCCCCCCACGCCCACTGCCCATGTCCCTCAGTGCCACATCCACACGGCTCCTGAACACCTCAGGGACGGTGACTGCACCACCTCCCTGGGCAGCCTGTGCCACTGCATCACCATTCTACAAATATCTTTAAGAACATTTAAAGTCTGCAGAGACACGCACTTATTTTATATGGCCTGTAATACAAGATTCGAATTTAATAGCAAGGTGGAATGAAGCACCAAGCCTCCATGCCTGCCTTAGCATAACGCTTTCCAGAAAACCAGCACAAAGAATGTGCCTTCACTGCATACCCTGCAACACATCACAACAAGGCATCTCTCACCAGAGAAATACTGCTCCTCATGGCTGTTTGCAACTCCACCTGGGAGCGCAGGATCCTCTGGGCAAGGGAAGAGCTGGAAAGGCTGCACTGTTATATAAACACAGAAGAGTGTAGGCTAGAAGGGGCCTCGAAGCCCACCTAGCCCCAACCTGCTGCCATGAGCAAGGCTGTCCCCCACCAGCTCAGGCTGCCCAAGGCTCCATCCAACCTGTCCACCTGGCCCAGGCAGGCACAAAGCTGCTGAATCCCCATCCAGAGAGCAACCTATTTTGCAGGAAACAAAATATTTTTCTATCCTCTCCATGGGCAATTAGCAACACAAGCCTGAAACGTCAAAAGCTGACTCTTAATTACTGAAGTCAGCACTTAATGACTCCAATTATATTTCTACTGATTTCTGAAAATTGGATTCTCCACTACACTTGCTGTATTTAAATTAGTTTCTTACCTCATTTGCAGTAATTATACTTTGACAAACCAAATTAAAATACAGTTGATTTCCAAAATCCTACTTAAAAATAGTGGGGATTTAAGAACAAAAATGTTATAAGCCTGCCACCATCCACATCTTCATTGCCTTCCTTTCAGAGCTCAGGAGTCCTGGAGTTAAAATGATGAGAGAGATGTCAAGGACATCTTTGCTAAATGCCGCAAAAAGGAAATGGTGTTCTAGGTCTGTAATACAAAATCACTTTCTTAACCCCCTGTACCACAAGAATTAGCTTTTCTTACCCCAGAAATCAGGGCCAGGTTGGATCAGGCCCTGGGCAGCCTGAACTGGTGGGAAGCAGCCCTGCTCACAGGAGGGTTTGGGGCTGGATGGGCTCTGAAGTCCCTTCCAACCTAAACCATTCTGTGATTCTGTGAGAAAAGCTGCTCTGCTTTTGGCCTGTCACCATCACTACCAAGAGGATTCCAGCAGCAAAGTGACAGCAGCTGAGCATATATCCAAACACTTCTCTCAATTACCACTACTCTGCTGCATCTGACCCACATGCTGAGACCACAGTACCTACATCTGGCACCAGAACTTGTCTGAGGGATAAGCATGGCTTCTGCAGTGCAGACCCTTTAGGGGATGCTTACCCTTTATTAGGAACTTATTTGCAGGTTCTAGTGCACGGTTAACGTAAGCAATGGAAAAAGACAAGAGAGCAGGCAGCATATTCTCAGGAAATCAAGCAACCAAGGAAAATAATCCATGCAAATATTGTATTTGAGGGAAATGCACTCACTTCAGATAACTCAGATTGCTTTGATTTCTCCCAGAGGACAATACCCCCCCACACATTTTTTCTCCAGAAAGAGGAAATAAAAAACAATGTCAGACCCCAACTCCTTTGCCAATCCCAAAGCTAAAACACACAGAGCTTATACCATCACACTGCAGCAGCCTGGCCACAGCCACAGGAGCTGCCAAGCACCCACAGGAACGATGCCAAACCAGAGATGCCCACATTGGCATGACATCACCACAGTTCAGGCAACCACAAGCGGCGAGCCTCAGCATCAGATAAATTAATCCTAGTGCGTGCAGGACTGGCTCCTAAAGGAGATGCAGAGGCCAGCATGCCATGTCTTCCTCGAGCTTCTTACAGCATCACAGGACACAGAGCCAACCTCCCACACGTGTGCAGGACACTTAGAGGCGAGAAAGGGGACACAGATTTACAGGGACACACTTCCACTTTGGCACAGGCAAATAACACACCAATGCCACACTACTTCTTGCAGTAATTGTTTTTCACGGTGTTTGTTTCTGCTATATTTTTATCCTCATTCTCTACAGCTACCCGTTACTCAGCAGTGGTTAGTTGGATTTTATGCTCGCATATGGTTTAAAGGGGGAGGGCTGTTTAATGTTCCCTGTATGTAAATAACGACATGCTGGCTCAGCCCCTGCTGTGCAAGCAGAGAACGATTAGGCTATAAATCTCGAACGCAGGAATGTGTCAGGCCGGCTTTCATCCACCTATCCATCAGAACTCACTCCTTGCTACACTTCCCATCTCCCCCTCGCCCATTGCTTTTAATGAGCACATACAGCAGCAGGAGGCAGCAGCCCAAGAAGGGGGACACCGACTGACAACACCGCGTTGCCAGGTGCCACCACTGCCGGGTATGGGACATGGAGCATGGGGACAAATGTTGAATGATTTGGGTTCTTACCCGATCTACGGCATAGCCCTGGTGCTGTTCCTCAAAACCAACTCATGTTTTCAATGTAATTTATTGTCGTTTTAATATAGCTGACAGCATTCATTTCCAATCAAAGCTCACATGCCAAGCACATTAAAACCATTTTATTTTTGCAAAAGCTAACGCCATGAGAGCCTGAAGCAACACAAATGTAACCACAAGCATTCCCAGCTTTTTCAGTGTCGGAAACCAGCACGCAGAATGGCCAGCTGAACTCTCCAGGGTGCAGAAACACTCTTTAAATAAATAAGAGATAATTCACTGTTCAGCCAGTCCTCCCTCCTGGCTGAGGAAGGTTGACTAGGCATGGTGGTGATGGTGACTGGACTAGATGATCTCAGAGGTCTTTTCCAAGCTTAACAATTCTATGATTCTAGGCACAGCAGGCTAAGAGCAGCATGGGGGGCTCTCCCTCACCACCACTGCTCCCAGGTCTTCCCCACTGCAAGCAGGGAAAGGCAGAATACTCACACTGACTCTCAACCATGCTACAGGCACAGGTGAGAAGGCAGCAGACTTTCCACTCACTGGCACCCACATACTGGAGACATGGCAGGCAGCTGCAACAACAGCCAATTTCTCTCCTATAAGGCAGAGTTTTATTCATTTAAAAGTCCCGCCTCTTCTCATAAAGCAAAACCAAGCAACTTGCTGCAGTCCACAGAGGGAAGAGAGCAGTGATTGCTGCCAGTCTCACTGGGCAGGGAGATTTCTGCATGCTGTGGAGCACATCCATATATCCATGTGCAGGCCACCTTCATCCAGCACTCTCCATGCAGCCTCCTGCCTCTGAAGTGGAAGGAAAATGTTTGGACATTCAATCTCTGCTGGTGAACAAGACCAGGAACAGCTGCAGAAGGCAGAAATGAAGAGGCTAATCAAGAAGCCAGGAAAGAAGGGAAAATTCCCTGGAAGAATAAGTCAATTCATACAAACTATCAAGTTCGGACATAGCCTTTCTGTTGTAAGTAGACTTGAGAGTGAC